TCGAGTTTTTCAACTCTTTTGTTGTCGTCCAATGGTGGGACTAAGTTGGCCGGAGGCGATGGGGTGGGGGAAAACAAAGATGGTCTATAAAAATTATACTTCAGCACTTTGTGCTCATGTTTGTATATTAACTCCGATTGTCGATTTTATCCTCATAAGTGGACGAATCGTAACAAGTAGTAAAATGGACATTTTAAATCTGGATTATCATTCCCATAAGGACTATACTTTAACACTCAATTTATTATTCCTAATTTCTATTTGATGAAAATAAACAAAACAAAAAAATGATTGAATGTGATTTTTAAATCTAACTACTAAAAATTTCGTGAATGCAACAGAAAATCAGTGAGAATTCAAGTAATGAATGGATATTAGGGCGGAACAAATTCACCTATTGGTTACTTTTATTTCTAATATCGAGATTCATAAAACTAAAGTAGTGTTCGGTTGAATTCTTCTATAGCATTCAATTTACCCCTCTCGAGTTCTCATTGAGCCTACTTAAATATTTCAATTTCATATCTATATGCAAATCAAACTTACTTAAACGCACTAATAGTTCTAAGAATTCATTTATAACCACAGCAATTAATATAAGTATCTATATACGTTATATTAATTTACCGAATTTTAATATGTGGTCTAAACAAGAATTTGCATCTCTACGCACTTATTAATCACGAAATCATTGAATAGTTCGCCAAAAAATTCAAAGCATTGATAACATAATTAAAATTCACACATATAATCATAACGCACAAGAATTTTAAATAAAAGAAATAAATAGTCTCAAATGAATTACATTGTTCACCCTAAAATTATATTTAGCAACTCATAGTAATGAAAGAAAAATAAGAAGTTATTATGGAAGATATCACTAGGTTTTGAATAAGAAAATCTTGCACCAAGATTTTCTTCTCCTTCCAATTTATGCTTTAACCCTTGAATTGCTTGTTATTTTGTACTCTTAAATTTTTCTCTTTAATCTCTAAGTGTGTCTATTGCATCTCAATGTGTGAATCTCCCTTCAAGATGTGAAAAATTTGTATTTATATGTGTCTTGTCATGTGTAGAAAATAGGGTTTTCATAGACTTCAGAACGGGCCAAAAATGCACCCTAGATGCACCCAAGCGGAGCCACAATGCCACGGCTCTGTTTTGGTGGCACCTTGGCGCCCTGATGGTGGCGTCGCTCCGTGTGAAAAATTCTGGCTGCGCTTCTTTCAGTATTTTTATCATTACTTAAAAGAAATAATAGTTTTAAGAATTCCTGTAGGACCACAGCAATTAATATAAGTATCTTTACATGTTATATTAATTTATCGAATTTTAATATGTGGTTTAAACAAGAATTCGCATCTCTACGTAATTATTGTTCATAAAATCATTGAATAATTGACCAGAAATTTCAAAACATTGAAAACATAATTAAAATCCACACATGCAAGTATAACGAACAAGAGTCTCGAATAAAAAAATAAAGGTTCTCAAATCAATTATATTGTTTGCCCTAAAAATAAATTAGCTACTCATAATAATGAAAGATAAACATGAAGTTATTAAGAAATTCATTACCGATTAATTGCCTGTCGGTGAATAATTTGCGAAGTGAATATGCCGTTTTTCCTTCTTGCGTGAATGGGGCGGCGTCTGCAATTTTATTCCCCACGAACTCCAAGCTGCTCCTCAATTTCCGTGCGTCCCTTCAATTTAATAAAGTAGCCTCAAGTGTGTGGAAAATAAATAAAATTGGCTTCCCTCAATTGTTGAATTCCAGCCGGCACCTTTCTTTATTTCCCTTGGCAGCCTGTTTTTTTGTTTTTTTTGTTTTCCTCATCAATTCTTTGCGTATTGGAGCCACAATAATTGACTCCAAAGTGGAGTCCAATTTCTCCTGCTGGCTCCCCTCCCGCCCCCCTTTATGTGTATATGGGAAGTGTTCTTCCTACACGTAGATTTGACAAGTATTTTTGACAAATAATCGCGACCTTTAAATGAAAAACAAATTCAACGGTTAGTATCTCATGAATCTCAAATGATTATAACTAATTCTTTCATTATCCTAGTGAAATACATATTGACCGTTGGATTTACTTCATCTAAAGATCACAATTATTTGTTAAAAATACTTGTCAAATCCATATGTAGGAGGAACACTCCCCTATATATATGTGTGTGGGTGTGTGTGGCAGCCCTTTTTTTATTGTTAATAGGATTTCAAACTGATTAATGAGTTCATATCCAAATACAAGTCCAAAAATTATGCCCACTTAATTTATTATTTTCTTCAAGCCATCCAATGCCTAGTTGAGTCCCTGTAATTTGGATTTTGCTATTTTTCGTCCTTTTTTTGCTTCTTTCCTTCAAATCCTTTTCCTTCATAAAATTTCACCTATTAAACATAAAATAAAAAAAAGTTAAGATATAATTTGTCAAAAAAACCATCAAATATCGCTATTTAAGGTACCGAATAAGTGTATAAAATACACTTATCTACTCCCTTATGACATGGAACAACATTAAGGTGGCACCAAAGTCATTTGTCCATAGAATCAGGGTTACTAATTGTTGAATTTGTCAATTTTAATATTCGTACTACGACAAAACTAGAAAAAAAAAAATTTAAATAGAGATCAAAGTAAAGTATAATAATCCTATCAACGAAAATAAAATACAATGACCTAATTGGAATTTGATTGACAGGAAAGTGACCGCAATTGAAATTTGACCCAAAAACAAATGTTTGCAAATATTCCGTGTAATGTAAATACCATTAAGTTGAGAAGAAATCGACGTATTTGGATTCATACTATAACTTCCCCAATTGGATAAGTCTGCCTTAGCGGCTAAGGGTTGAACGTGGCCACGCGTTTGGAACGTTTGGTTTCCAATCATAGAGCGGGTGCGTCTGAACTTGGAGATAATGGTTCATTGCTGTGATAGTTCTATAAATCAGATCCACATAAACTAAAAAAATGAGTCCATTTTCGAGGAAAGTCATTCTCACCCTTCGGCTTCTTTTTAGAATTAGGTGGATGACATTCCATAAAGTCAGGGTTGAACCAGTGTTTTGCGGGACCTGAGACCAATTTCAGATTTTGGGCTAATAAACCATAGCAAGCAATTAATTTTTGTAAAAATTACACAATCTAATAGATTTAGAGATTCAAATTCATAAATCATATGTAAAGTTTACTATTTCAAAAATTAGATATTTTATTAATTAATTAATATATTTTAAATATTAATAATTATATTAGATTATTAAATATATATATTCGTTACATCAAACCCTAAATTTATTTTCATTCATCCCTTTCATTTTCTCTCTCTATATCTCAGTCCCCGTCGTTTCATCCCTTTCATTTTCTCTCTCTATATCTCACCTCCATTGACAAAATCGGTCACCACCCCCTCCAAATTCAAATCATTTCTATCTTTTTCGGCGTTCAGATAAACTCTCTGCCTACTATTCTCGTCAACACCATGTCTATTGTGGTTGACGACATACGGCGAAGGCGAGGACGAATTCGGGTAAGAATTTCCCGGAATCAAAGTCGATTCCAGTGTCACATAGAGTTGGAGGCTTTTTCATTCAGTTAGAGCCTTCAACTCTCAGATTCGCGTTGGAGTCATCTCCGTTCAGTTGCTTCGCCATCATCGTTCGACATTCCCTAGTTAGGCTTTTAGGGCTTTTTGTAGGAATCTTAGACTCGAGGTTCCAACAAATTCTCTAAGGCAACAGCTGTAACCAGGGAGATTTAGTTGCTTCGCCATCATCGTTCGTCCCTGCTTGCGGCATGAGCATCATTCTGCAATGGTGGAGGTCGATCGCTGTTGCAGTTTTGGATCTAATTTTGTTGTGGTTGTGGAGTGATTTTGGTGTGTGTTTTGTTGGTAGTGGTGGTGAGGTTGCGATGCCGATTTTGGTGGTGATCGTTGTGACGTTTGGCTAGGTTGTGGGTGAAGGTGGTGGATGGGGTGAGATGTGGTGGTGGTGGTGGGTCTGGCGCCGATGATTTTGGTGGTGTTACAGTTAATGACAGTGGTGAGGTGGTGGTCACAAATGTTGAAATGGTCATACGTAATTTGGCTGATTGTGACCAATTAAAAAGATAAGTTTTGTCCACGTGACCTAAAAAATTGTTAATCTTTGATCGGTAATTTGATAATTTGTGACTGTATAATAAGTCGTGACTTATAGTATTTGTGATTTGTGACCAATAAATAAATTGTGACTTATAAGTTTTTTGATTTGTAACCGATGAACAAAATTGTGACCTATAAAATTCTTAAATTGTGACTGTAAAATAATTTGTAACATAAAATTTCTAATTTGTAACCAAAAAATAATAAATGACTAACCAAAATTTTAAATTATGACAAAATTGTATACATCTATGACCTAAATACATTTAATTAATAAAATAATTAATTAATTAATTAAATCACAAATAAATTTAAATAAAAAAATCTGATTTTTGAAGTTTGAAACTTTTTTTCTTAATTTTAAAATGTGTGATACTTAAACTCTTACTTATGAAATTTTTCCATAATTTTTTCATTTATAAGAAATTTAAGGAACTAAATTTGTTAACTTAAAATCAAAAAATAAAACAACAAATAAAATGAAATATCTAAAATATGTATATTATAATCAAATAACAATATGAAAATGTTCTAAACCATCACTTTAAATACAACTCCTCTTGTGATTTTCGAGGCAAAAATATAAATCAATTTTGTATGGTCGAGTTATTTAACTATTTCTTTTTCAATTGTTGACATGGTCAAACCATTCAATCTTTGCTGTGACATAGTTGATCGGATATAAGTTTTGATCAATTTCAATTTGGAGAAACTTCTTTCTGTGGATGCAACAGTAACTGGGATGGTGAGCAAAATCTTGCAACCAATGCAAGCATTCATAAAACAATCATTCATTTTCTTCAAGTAATGTAGCACATCAATTGCTCTTTTTATTTCTCTAGTTAAATAACACCTCAATATGATCATCTCTGTACACAATTCATCACCTATAACGTCTGAATTCCATTATGTTTCAAATACTGCTTAAGATTCTTATAAGATTTCAACAAATCGTCAACTTGCAAAGAATAAAAAATCTTCTCCAAAGAAATTGAATACATTAGTCATCTTCTATCAGTTGTTTGCCAATTTTCCATTAACCGTTTATATTATGATGATTTAAAATGTCTACATTATTTCTGAAAAACAAGATGTCATTAATTCTTTTTGGACACATTTCAACTAAAAAGTCCCTTATCTTTTAATCAATGTAAATATCCTTCCAATTTCAAGATCATCAAAATTCAAAAAAAAGCAATTCTCTTGATTTAAATTTTCATGTTGAACATTATCTTCATCATTCTGTATTGACTTATCCATATTGGCAGGTTCAGTCATTTCTAAATTCTCTTTCCGTTCATTCACATTGTCATTATCATCCTGATTCTGTTGTTCCTAAATCATTAAATTTTTTGGTGTTCCTTCCTTCTCTTTTATTTTCTTGCCATTAACGTACTTATCCATATATTCAGCTTGGCTTCGAATTAATGACTTAATTCTTTTCCCCTTCTTCATTTTTTGAACTCCTGACGCAAATTTAGGAGCTATGGTATTTGACTCAAGTCACTTAACAACTAACACTTACTGAAAGTTAAGAGTAAAAGAGGATCAAATTAGTTTAAAAAAGAAAATCAAAATTGATGACCCAACGAAATGGACCGAACGATGCGGTCGCCGATTGGATTTGGGAGAAGTTGCAAACTTGTAGAGTAGTGTCGTTGCCTCGTTAGTCAGGAGTCTATGCGGGCCTTTGGCAGAGGCTTCTTGGATATCTTCTCAGGTTCGGCCCTGCATAATGTGTAAAAATGAGGCCATTAATTTTTTTTAAGTGTTGATAAAATCAATAACAAAAGTGTGTTACATCATCAAATATAAACAAAGCTGTCAATCATGATTTAAGTATAGAAAAACTATTCTTCTTAAGCCCCACCTTTTTTAGGAAATGAGTTTTACAATAATGATTTTTTCAAGAATGTGTGGTTAAAAATAGATTTTTTTTTTTTTTTTGAATTTATGTACAAAATATTTTCTTATAAGAATGTGTGTTTGAAAATGAGTTTGAGAAAAAAAAATTATTTTATTAATTGTCATATAGGGGCTAAAATTCGAAAAAAAATATAGGATTATTAGAGAACTAAAAGTTAGTACTTAAGACCACTTTTTATTTGACGTGGGTATTATTTATTCATGTCTGAACTCAATTAAATGCTAGTTTCATTTATTTTATACGCACGTCAAATAAAAATTGACACGAAATGTTAACTTTATGTACTCTAAAAGTACTAAAAATTTATCAAAATTCGAAATTTTATAGTACTACCGAAATAAAAATTGATAAAATTTATAAACGCGTGAAAAATAATTAATACATTATTAAATTACAGACGTGTGGTGAAAATTAATGAAAACACATTTTAAAACGTTAGGTATAATTTATTATGATGTACTTTCTTCGGTTTGACTTATTTTCTTCGTATAATTAGCCCTTGTTTGGTTTTCATTACATTACATTCTATTTTTCTCTCTCCTATTTTCAACCACACAATCTTCCATAAAATAATATTACATGTCAATCGAAAATTTTTCTTTCTTTTTCAACCACTCATTTTTCAAAAAATACTATTCTATATATTAAATTTTCCCCGTAATGGGGGGGCCAAATAGGGGCTTATTATGCACGCCTATTTTGATTTTTAGATTAGTCGGCATTCATTGACTTTTCCACTACTGTGTGCTACTGCTGTGCTGTATATATTATCCATGAATCAGAGAGAAAAGGGCAGACCAGCAGAAGGCGGAGTTTCAACACTCATTTAATTCTCATATAAAAAAAAAAAAATTAGTTCGTGGGAGCTTTTTAATAGACATTGATAAGATGCAGAACGCTTTAAAATATGTTCTTGTTCTTTCAATGATTTGCCTCCTCCTCACCTCTGCAGTTGCTCGTGGAGGCGGTGGAGCAAGGGGTGGCGGCATTGGTCGAGGCAGCGGTGGTGGAACAAGAACTGTGACGCGTCCACTAATCAATGGCAATCCAAACCGCCACTCCAGTAACAGCAGCCCATCTACCTCTATAGCACTGTCGTCTTTAAGTATGGCGTACTTAGTTTATACTTTATTTCTTGGGTTGCATTATTAAAGTAGATTTTAGGAATTAATTATCAATTTTAACAACGATTTAATTTGTATATTTTTTGTACAAAAATACAAAAGTTTTAATGGAATTATTGTTGATACAGTAGTTAATTACGATAATCTTATGTACGATTTGTGAAATGTGAAAATCATTATTCTGGATGGACAAAGATTATGCTTTCTCGTTGCTCTTTGACAACAAATCCATTAACAAACGTTGAGTGTGCACAAAAATCTCTCGCCAGTTTGCCACATGGAATTGGTGTTGATAAGATGAACATGTGAGCATTTAACGTAACTGTGACAGAAGTCACAGAATTGGAATTTAGATGACTGCATATATTTGATCCATAAAACAAATATCAACAAAAGAAATTGTTCTCCTGTCCATGAGGACGGGATAAGGTGTCCACTTGTTGATGTGACAAGTGAACCTTACTTACGATTCTCTCCTAATATGATAACCTTAAATAAAGATCTCTTCAAAGTAGATAAGATAAAACTTCCTTTTATGGACAAGAGAACATGAGTTCATTAGCAAATAATTCAAGTTATGTAAATATCGAAGTGAACAAAAAATTAACGTATTTGTGTTCAACCTATAAGTTCCCCAATTAGATAAGTCTACTTTACCGCGAAGCTTCTTATTTATTGATCTTGCCCAGCGTTAGGGAGGGGTTTTCCCTCTCCTCATCAAAAACGACTTCGTTTGGCCGTGAATTTTGTTTCCAATCATAGCCCTGGTGAGTAACGTGATTCCCAACCAACTTAAAAGATATTGGTGCATTGATGTGAAATATCTGGAAATCAGACCTCAGAAATTAAGCATGCATTTGGTTTGTTATTTTTAGTTTTCAATTTTGAAAAACACTGAAATTGTATTTGGTCTTTGTCACGAAAATCTTGGAGATATTTTGATCCAGGCTTAGAAAATCAACCAAACGAACACCACAATTATCTAATCTTGATCCAAAACCTCACCTCCACTTTGATTGTCACAAGTCCTCTTAACCCCACAAAGAAAAAATAATGGTGATAGTATTAGCAAGAGTAGGAAGAAGAAGAAATGACGACAATGGTGGAAATCTTTCCCAATTTTCCCCCAAGCCGGCTGTCCCCTCTCTACTTTTCCTTCTTACACTCTACACACACACACCCCCATCACACGGCTGTATAATGGATATATAAATGCTAAACATTAGGTCACTTTTTGGGCCAATCTCTCACTATAAATAACTAAAGGGCAAAGTTAAAGAATAAATTGGCTAACTAATATCACCATTCGACTAACTAAATCCAACTCAATAATTTGGACCATCCACAAGTGTAGGTTGTTTCTAGGTCAAGCCAAGTATATGGTGTCGATAAATTATTCGACATCTGTTTTAAATCATCGTCGGGACTTATTGGGTATCAAAACCCAACAAATTTTCACATTGATACCCAATCAACTTGTAAGCAACTAAAACACAAAGTTTATACTCGCATAATCAAAGTAACCAATAAAATTGGAATCACGGACCTTAACTTGTTTTTCGAACTTGAAACACATACCATACTTGCTACATATAATCAGGGCTAAGGTTATAATAATAATAATAATAATAATAATAATAATAATAATAATAATAATAATAATAATAATAATAATAATAATAATAATAATAAAAAATAAATAAATACACACAAGTAGAAGCATATAATAACTAAAAACAATCAAGAGCAAATAAACATGCAATGAAAATATAACATAGGATAACACACAAATCTTTTCAAATATGCTCATGCAAAATTTGGATATGTTGGAATCTAAATGATGTAGATGTCTTGTTGGTGGGATCCTCTGCTCAAGCTATCCATGTTAGTGTTAATGCGTGTAATAGTAAATGGAGTTGTGCGGTGTCAGTGGTATATGGGGATAATATCCCAGTTAAGCGTCTTGATCTATGGGATGATTTAGTAGTTAGGCATGGAGGTTTCACATATTTGCCATGGTGGTCATGGGGGACTTCAATTCTGTTCTCTCCCCTTTAGAAGTGGCAGGTGGTTCGTCTTCTTGACCTACGTGGCAAAATGATCTTGGGAATTGCATGGCGACTGTGGGGTTGGATGATTTGAAGTTTGAAGGCTATTTATATACATGGACTAGTAAACGTGTATCTGATCCTACTCTCAAGAAACTAGATTGTGTATTGGTGAATTCGATGTGGGAAGACAAATTTCATGGATCGGTAGCTAAATTTCTTACTGCTGGAGTGTCGGATCATTCTCCTATGGTTGTTAAACTTGCAGAATTACCGCGTAGAAAGATTCCATTCCGTTTCTTTGATTTTTGGATGGGTCATCCGGATATCATTCCTTTGGTGGCTCAGGTATGGGGTGAAGCAGTCGTGGGAACCCCTATGTTTTGTTTGTGTTCGAAGTTGAAAAAACTGAAGCTCGCCTTGAAACATTTTAATAAGGAGCATTTTTCAAAACTTCCTACGAGAGTTACTCAAGCTCGGACTGACATAGAACATGTTCAGTGTTTGATTCAACATTCGCCTTTGGATTCATCGTTACATAGGGAAGAGGCTCGGTTACAAAAGGAATTTTGTGAGTTGAGTAGGGCTGAAGAAGGCTTTTTGAGACAAAAATCTCGTGTTAAATGGCTGAATTTAGGTGACCAGAATACTGCTTTCTTCTTCAAGGTTTTGAAAAGTCACTATGGCAAAAGTAAGATGGTTTCTATTTGTAAAGATGATGGTACTAGAGTGGAGGAGCCACATGAGATCAGTGAAGTCATTGTTGCGTTCTATCAAAATCTCCTTGGTCAACAGTCTAGTGGTGAGAGTCTAGATATGGACTTGCTTCGAAAAGCTCTTCCTAAGAGTATATCAGCAGTGTAGAATGAAAGCCTTGATAGAGATGTGTCATTTGAGGAGATTAAAGAGGTTTTGTTCTCTTTGAAAGACAACAAGGCTCCAGGGCCATATGGTTTTAATGCAGTTTTCATCAGGAGGACTTGGAGTATTGTGGGAAATGATGTCTTATGTGCAATCAAGTCCTTTTTTTGACTCGGGACATCTATTGAAGCAAGTTAATGCTACTTCCATCTCATTGGTCCCTAAGGTTCATAATCCTTCTCAGGTAAAGGACTTTAGGTCTATCTCTTGTTGCAATACTATTTATAAATGTATTGCTAAGCTTATTGCCAATAGAGTTAAAACGGTGCTCCCAGACATTGTGGGCCCCAACAAACTGCATTTGTTAAAGGACGGCATATTAGTGATAATATCCTTCTTTCCCAAGAATTGTTGAGGAATGATCACCGCATGGGAGGATTACCTAGGTGTGCTCTTAAAATTGATCTCATGAAAGCATATGATTCTATTCATTGGGATTTCCTCTTTGCGGTTTTTAGGGTGATTGGTTTTCCCGAGAGAGTTGTTAGGTGGATTATTGAGTGTGTCACTACCACTCGTTCTTCGATTTCCATTAATGGGGAGCTGCATGGTTTCTTTGCGGGCGGGTGAGGTTTGAGGCAAGGAGATCCTTTGTCACCCTATTTGTTTGTCTTGGCAATGGAGGTCTTCTCAGGTTTAATGGGGTTGATGGTTTCTGAATAGGACTTTAAATACCACTGGAGGTGTGAGAAGGAGAAGATCACCCACTTGTATTTTGCTGATGATCTTATGGTCTTTTGTAGGGCTGAGGTTGGTTCAGTTTCTCTCATTGGAAAATGCATTAATCGATTCAAAGCTCTTTTTGGACTTATTCCTAATTTAGATAAGAGTAATCTATTTGCCAGTGGTGTTTCTTCATATCTTAAGGATCAGTTGCTTGATGTCTTGGGGTATAAGGAAGGCGTGTTACCGGTACGTTATCTTGGTGTTTCGCTTATCTCTACCAAATTGAGGGCTTTGGATTGTAAGAAACTGGTGGACCGTATTATAGCTAGGGCTAAGAGTTGGACTTGTCGAGCGCTCTCCTATGCAGGCAGGTTACAACTTATTAAGTCAGTATTATTTTCTATTTAGGTCTATTGGTCCTTTGTATTTCTTTTACCTAAGGCTGTGATCAAGCAAGTGGAAAATTCACTACGGGCCTTCTTATGGAAGAGTAGTGACCTTGGCATCAGTGGGGGCTAAAGTGGCTTGGGCAAAAATCTATATGCCTAAGGAAGAGGGCGGTTTGGGTCTATGGAGCTTGGAGATTTGGAATAAGGCTGCCATGTTAAAGTACCTTTGGTCCCTTTGTACGGATTCTGCCTCCTCTCTTTAGGTTTCATGGGCACATTGTTATTTACTTAAAGGATGGAGCATTTGGGAATTGAAGTGTCCTAGGGATTTCTCTTGGAGTTGGAGGAAGATTCTTGGACTCTGGGATATAGGAAGGGACAAAATGAAATTCAGAATTGGTAATGGTAGAAGTGCCTCGCTTTGGTATGATAATTGACATCCTCTTGGCCCTTTAGAGAAGATTTTTTGGAGAGAGGATAATTCGTGAATCCAAATTGAGTAGACTAGCTAAGGTGGCTGTTATTGTTGAGGGTGATACTTAGAGATGGCCATCAGTTCGTTCCCCAGCTTTATCTGACTTAATGCGAGATACGCTTGCCACTTTTTGGCCGGATAGTAATAGAGAAGATGTATTATGATGGGAGATTGATGCACTGGGAGTGTTCTTTGTTCGGAGTGCTTGGGAGTCTCTTCGACTTTGCTGCCATAGGGTAGCTTGGTATCATATTGTTTGGTTCCCTAAATGTATTCCACGTCATGCATTCATCCTTTGGCTAGCTATTCAAGGTGACATCTATACACAGACAAAGCTTCTTCGCTTTGGTTTGGTACAGTCTATGCGTTGTGTGCTGTGTGATTGTTCAGTGGAGGATTTGAATAATCTTTTCTTTACTTGCCCATTTTCTGAGCGTGTTTGGAATACTTTGCATGCGAAATGTAACTTGCCTTGGGTTCAACGGCGTTGGCCAGATACTCTTTCTTGGATGGAACAATTTCGTGGGAAGTCATTGTCTTCCATCGTTATTCAGTTGATGTTTGCAGCTTCGATTTATGCTATTTGGCGTGAGCGCAATTCTAGGACCTATGGGGAGGCTCCTAAACATGAGTTTGCTATTATTCAAGATATTATTTTCTCTATTTGTGCACGAGTGAATTCATGTAGGGGCTTGGTTCCATCTAATGAGAATAGGTGGCTCCAACGCTCTTGGAGTTTTTCTGCGAATATTTTTTATTGTCGTGATTAGGATATGAGCACTAATTTAGGTTTCTGTTATTGTTGTTAGGAAGGCATTTATTCCTAGCATTGTTTCCTGGGGTATGCCCCTGTGATTTGTACTTTATTTTTACACTTTGGATATAATATACTTACCTTATCCAAAAAAAAAGTAAAACAACAAACTAACATCAAATTAATCAATCAAACGACCAACACATGTGCAATAAATGCATAAATGACTCTACGAAAATATTTCACCTCGCTTATCCTGTTCCATTCTATATTACTTGCACCTCGAGAACACATATCTCTTCTCAATCGGCCACCATTTCTCATTAGATTGGTTACTAACTCATGTCTAACTGGTAAATCACTATAGATCCAAAGTCCAGGGATTATCCTCTATCATCACCTCACTTCTCTCAACCTAAGTAGATAATGGATCTACACCTAATAGAAGTGATTTGAATGTCTCTCTTACACTCTACTTGATCAGAGTCTTCACAGATAACGAATTTCAACGTTTAATCACCTCTTGACTCGTGATCCAAATATCACATTCCACTTCCCAGTACAAATCACCAATGTACCCCTAGGTATATATACCCCACATTACCAAAAGACAACCTCACACTTACTACTAATGCATCTCAAACCCTACTATGGCAAAAATAACATCTTTGGCAACCATAAAAGTTAGGGCTCAATTTAAATTGATCTACGAACCACAAAGTTACTCAAACACCAATGCTCAAAAAATTTATGAATAATTTATCCCATAAGAGAAGGGTGAAGATGACGTTAACAAAGAGAATAGAAGAGAGAGTTGGTTACTTCACTACACTTACAAAGGATGCTCACAACGAGAAAAAAAGATAACCTTAGCATGGCTGTCTCACATGATCTCACGAACTACGCGGGCTCACAAAGATAAAGGAGAAAAAGGTCACCCATCTTTCTTCTCACTACCACACTCTCATACACCACTCACAGAGCTCACACCGCCAACATGGTAAAATAAGTACTCTATAGATCTTAACCCATTGTGCATGGAAACACATTACACAAAGTAATAAGACCACCCAATTACATACACAAACAAATTGAAAGTATAACATATCAATGCAACAGAATTAAGCAATCACACACATGCAGAAAATATTATATATAGATGCACATGTAGTAACGCAGTTTACTCTCAATAAACCTCACTTGAGTCATAACTCGACCTAGTGGCAACATTCGTCTCACTACTTTCCTTTTATTATCATTCCTATGACAGTCTATTTCACCATGTCCTAATTTACCGCAGTTAAAACACATATTACTTTTTGCATTTGTCTTAGACTTATATTTGCCTTCAACAATTTTATTAAGATGATGATGATGATGATGATGATGATGATAATAATAATAATAATAAAATAAATAAATTCATTTAGTCAAATTGAAAAACTCACATTTTTTCCATTTAAAAAAAAAGGAACTCAAAATGTGTCGTCATTTTATGAAAAAATGCCAAAACACAAAATACAACCAACAACATCCGCACACAAAGTATCAACATATTCCAACAGAATAGTCAAACAAAGCTTTCTTAAGGTCACTTGCAATTGTAACAGTGAAAAAATTATTTGGCAATAAATTCATAAATAATTTATGGCGAATAATTAACAAGTAATTCCTAAGTTTAACAATGGGCAATGGTTACCCTTTCAAGGTAACCCAAACCTAACATCACCCCCACACGATTTCTAATGATAAAATAAATGACCATGCTACACAAGTCTCTACAGCAATAATAAAAGGCAAACAATATGATACCAGACGGACAATATCTACTAGGAAAGATGAGAATTCACTACTTTAGGGCTACCGCTAGGGATGTAAACGAGCCGGGCCGAGCCTGCTCGCGAGCTTAAAGTTTTGACTCGGGCTCGGCTCGGTTAAAATGATCGAGCTTTTTTGCGGGCTCTCGGCCAAAAAAAAGGCTCGACCCGAGCTGGGCAGGCTCGTTTTCTCCCTTCTTTTATTTTTATTTATTTATTTATTTATTTTCCCTAAATTGCTTCCTTGAAGACAAGGCAGCCTCAAATTTTTTTTTTTTTTAAAAAAGCTTTCGAGTTCACGGGCCGGCTCGAGCAAAGCCAGGGTCCCCAAAATGGGGCTCGGCCCGAGCCTAGGCTCGGGTCTACCTAGCCCCGAGCCGACGAGCCCGATTGTCATCCCTGGCTACCGCCACTATTCATCCTAAAATTTTCAGCAACCCCAGCAATACAAAATGGTACCCGACACCCGAACATCGATGGGCAAAGTCATCTAGATTTCACTATACTGCTTGAAATAAAAATTCGACAACATCACAGAGTCTGTCTCGTTGTCGGCAACAAATTATCTTTTGATGCCATTGGCGGAATCTTCTTGACGTGTCGTCACGGGCCTCACCGACATTCTGCGGGTCGATGTTGAACCTCACGTGCTAGCCACCCTAATGAGCCCCGCCCTGCCAAGTCCATCAATGGTCTCTGTTTCTCCAACAGATAAGTGGTTTGGTAGAAAAACACCAAAACAATTTCAATAGCTTTGAAATAAAATCCCAAAATTTTATCCATCTCTCTACCCGGTTTCCAACTTTGTTTTCAGCCTTTTTCAACCCGTTTTAAAACCCAAAAATCATAGATTTCTTAACTATACAAGCTCTAATACCATTTTTTGGAGAAATCTTGATATGATCTCAGAAAAATTAACCAAATGAACACCACAATCACCAAGGCTTTTTCAACCCGTTTTAAAACCCAAAAATCATAGATTTCTTAACTATACGTTGCATTCACTTTGGTTGCAACAAGTCCTCTCAACCCCACAAAGGAGAATGATGGTAGTGGTATTAGAATGAGTAGGAAGAAGAAGAACAAACAACAATGGTAGAAATCTCTCCCAAACATTAGGTCACTTTTTGGGCCAATCTCTCACTCTAAATGGGCCTCTAACACATGGGCAAAAGTAAAAAACAAATTGGCTAACTAATATCACCATTCAACTAACTAAATCCAACTCAATAACTTAGGCCATCCAAATTGTAGATTGCCTATTTCTACCCACTCCGATTACCCTTCTTCTAACCTACAAAGGACACAAAGGGGGTGATGCTTTCCAAGCAACCAGGAGAGGAAAGAGAAGAGAAAATAATAGTGGAATATCACTAAAGAAATTATCAGATTTTGTAGAATAAAATTTCATAAAATGACTTTTCAAAATTTCAAGCCAAACGTGTTTTCTATTTTGAAAACTAATTTTTCGAAATAATTAACCAATCACTTTTTTAGCAATCTTAAAATAAACACTCAAAACAGAACATCAAAATGAGTTCAAAACTCAAAATTAAAAACTAAGACACAAATCAAATCGACACTAACAAATGAGTCCATTTTTAAGGAAACTCGTACTCACCCTTCGTCCTTTATTGTGCGTTTATTGAAATAGTTTTAAAAAAAATTAAATGATAGTGCAAAAGTTAATAATAAATTTTAGCTACAATTTTAATGAGATTCAAAATTTTATCATTTTTTTTTAATTATGTTTCTATTTGGTCAAAATTAAAATTAAATTTTTAGTGCATTTTGATAAAAGTTAATGAAATATGTGGTGAAAAAAATTATGAATCCCATAAAATGTATTATTAAAATTAATTGACTTTGGTTTAGATTAAAGATTAAAATTTTTATAGAACAATGGCTATATATTTTAATAACTTTTATCAAAGTTTATAAAAACTTTTATCAAAAGTTTTATTAAACATGATCACCTATATTTGAAAAAACTTTAGTACTCTCGTAGCCCCTATTTTGTGAACTTTAATTAAAAAAAAAAAAAAAAAACATTTGTTGTGAATAGTATTTTTTTTTTTTTTTTTGGAGAATATATGATTAAAAAGTAGGAAGAAGTTTTGAATTTACATGTAGTATATTTTATTATATGAATGTATTGTTGAAAATAAATATAAGAAATAAATTAAAGTAAATTAAAGGCGATCAAACAGTATTGAAAGTCTATACTTTCGGCCACTTTTCATCATATAAGTGTGTGTATATATTTTTTTATGAATCTTAATTAAACTTCAGTGTCATTTATTTAATATACATGTCAAATAAAAAGTGATAAGAGAATGCTGGCTTTCCATACGGGGCTGCGAAAATTTCTAGTATATCCATATTAAAATTTAATGAAATTTGTGCACATGGGAGATTATTAATAAATTGTTTCAGACTTGCGGTGAAAATGAATGGAAATTAATACCAAATTGCACCCTTAATTTAGGAGCTGTAACTTTTTGACTATCATGATAGAGACTTTCCGCCATTTGTATAACTATGAGACACGCCTATTTTGATTTTCAACCAATACTTCGTGGAGTTTTCCGCCGCACCGCGTTGTCGTGTGCTACTGCTGTATATATAAGATCCATGAATCAGAGATCTGAGGGCACCAGCAGCAGGAGAGTTTCAAAATTCAGTTTATTCTCCAGAAAAAGGAAAAACTCAATTCTTGTGAGCTTTTTAATAGACATTGAAGAGATGCAGCGCGCTATAAAATATGCTTTCGTGCTTACAATAATTTGCCTCCTCCTCACCACTGCAGTTGGTCGTGGAGGCGGTGGAGCAAGGGGTGGCGGCGTTGGTGGTGGCGGTGGTGTGGTGCGTCCACTAAATGGCAATCCAAGTGGCCACACCAAAAATAGCAGCCCATCTACCTCTATAACATGGTCATGTTTAAGTATGCCGTACTTAGTTTATGCTTTATTTCTTGGGTTGCATTATTGAAGTAGGTTTAATTATCACTTTCCACACCTATTTAATTTATACATTATTTGTACAAAAATACAAAAGTTTTTACGGAATTATTGATGATACATTAGTTGATTGCGATTATCTTATGTATGATTTGTTAAATGAGAAAATCATTATTCTCAACGGACAAAGATTATGCAGCTCTCGTTGCACTTTGACAACAAGTCCATTAAGTGTGAAT